CGAACATCTCTCTCCTCCTACGAAACTCTCCCTCCCCCCCCCCCCCCCCGCCCATGATACTCGTTCTTCTCCGCACAACTCACGGGTTTCAGTTATTCGATCCATTTTCACGAGAAACAAACAGAAGAACCAGAGATTTGATCACTCGAGAGTCACTGCCAAAAGGATCGAGCGAGTGAAGTTTGATTTTATAAGCAGATCATATTGAAGAGAGAGATAAAAGAAAAGATGAGGAAGGAGGGGTGGTGATGGCGGCTGTGGCCGCGGTGGTCGTGGCTGCAGCAGCGGCGAGACAATGGAGGAGGAGGAAAGAGAGGCAGTGGAAGAAAACGGAGAGGATATTAAGGAAGTTCGCAAGAGAATGCGCCACACCTGTGAGTAAGCTCTGGGAGGTGGCGACGGCATTGATGGTGGACATGCAGGCTTCTCTCTCTTCTGAGAATACCACTACCAGCTCCCTCAACATGCTTGTTTCATACGTTTCTTCACTCCCCACCGGGTAATATATATATATATATACACGTATACAGATACACGAATTGCGATCTTCAAAACTAAATCATGCGTCATGTTGGTGTAACAGGGAGGAAAAAGGATTATTCTATGGATTGAATTTACGGGGAAATGACTTTCTAATAATATGTGCAAGACTTGGAGGAAACAATGAGCCTATTTCTGAGATGCGTAGAGAGGAGGTTTCTCTGTCTGATCATGAAATGCTTGGTTCTTCACAGGTAGAATTTTTTCCATACCACTCTTCCCCAATCCTCAAATTAAATCAAATTCCTTTTATGTTGCTGAAAATAATAATTTACAAATGAATTATTATTTAGAACTCGTCTATCTTTTAAAATTTTCTATAAATGTCTCTTAATTTGGAGATTGTTCTTAAAACTATTCCAGAAAGGGTGTGAACTAAAACTTTTAAATGTTACAATCAATGTGGTTCCTGCAAAATTAAGTTAATATAAAATCATTCAGTTTATTACTAAATTTGTATTGTCTTTAACAATTTGAATGTTAATTTTCAGGATTTATTTGATTGCATTGCTAAGGAATTAGCAAAATTTATATCAATGCACCCGGATAGCAATAAGGACACAGCATCTAATGAAGATAAGAAACTAGGTTTAACTTTGTTATATCCGGCCAATGGATCTACCTCCACCTCTGGTTCCGCTATTAAATGGAAGAGTTTATCGGCTGATGATACAGTTGAGTTTGTTTATCCATTTTCTCTATATTGCATGAAGTGCAGATAGATTTTCATTAATTTCATAGGCAATTTGAATGTTATATGCTTACTGATTTTTTTATATGTTCTGAACAGATCGGAAAACAACTGTTAGATGACATCAATCAAGCACTGGAGAAACACGGTGTCCATATGAAAGTTTATGGTTTGGTAAGCAGCTTATACTTGTTGCAGTAGAAAGGGAACACGAATTCATAATAAAATGTAACGGTTTAGACAAATATTAGAATCTTCAAGCCTCAGATATGTGAATAGATTAATATTATTTTCTTTCTCAGTTAATCTAATCAAAATCTTGATTAGGTTGATAACACTGTGGGAGATTTAGCAGGAGGTAGATATTACGATAAAGATAGCATCGCTGCAGTTACTTTAGGAATGAGTACGAATGCTGCTTATATGGAACAAGCTCAAGCAGTTCCCAGATGGAATGGTTCATCGGCAAAATCAGGCGAAATTGTAAGTTGTAGTATCACAAATATGTGTTTTTATTTTAAGACTATATTAGAATTCTAAGTATCAAGTACAATAATATTATATCAAATTTCATTAGTTTTGATGAAATCTTAAATGTATCTTTCCAGTTCCAGATTAAAGTTCATGTGATGTTGTTCTTTTGTCTCTTCTTTTCTATCTACACTCTCTTTTTATAAAACGATTTCATATCATTTTTTTATTTGTTCTAAACATAGTTTAAGGAGAGCATCATAGACATGTTGTTATACGATGTATTCATAGGCTATCAGTACAGAATGGGGAAGCTTCAATTCATGTCATCTTCCTATTACTGAGTTTGATGCTAGTTTGGATGCTGAAAGCTCGAATCCGGGAAATCGGGTACAAAAATTCATGGATTTTGATTAGATATCTGTTGGGAATTTTGTATATGTTTTTTGAATTTCAGACTAAAATTTCTTTGTTCCAGATTTTTGAAAAGCTTATCTCAGGAACATTTTTGGGAGAAATTGTAAGAAGAGTCTTGTTAAAGATGGCTGTGGAGTCAGCCTTATTTGGTGAAAGTGTGCCTCCAAAACTCAGGATCCCATACATATTAAGGTATATATGCAAAGTTCAAATCCGGATCACTCAAATTACGAGGCATATATTGCTGTTAATACATGAACACTATTAAGTTCTTTTATATATATATATATACACACACACATATATTCTTTTTTACAGATTATTCAACATGATGCTAGTGTTATATATTAGAGTCCTAATTATGATTGTTATTTTTCTTCAAAACAATAATGGTTCTACAAACTGATATATCTCTTCTATTTAGGTCACCCGACATGGCTGCCATGCATCAAGATACGTCAGAGGATCGAGAAATACTTGATGTAAAATTGAGAGAAATTTTTGGGGTAAGTAAACATTGTTTATAAAATATGTTTCGATTCTTTGTTTATGTATAAATGATAAATTTAGTAATAATTGCTTAATTATAAGAAAATGGAAGTAGATTATATGAATAATTAATTGATTGATGTATATTCGTATAGATTAAAAATTCGAGCGTGATGGTGAGAGAAGTGGTGGCGGAGGTGTGTGACATCGTGGCGGAGAGAGGAGCACGATTAGCTGGAGCAGGGATCGTAGGGATGTTGAAGAAGCTTGGAAGAATAGAAAGCAAGAGAAGTGTGGTAATGGTGGAAGGTGGACTTTACGAACACTACAGACTCTTCAGAAATTATCTCCATAGCAGTGTCTGGGAAATGCTTGGAAATCAACTCTCTGACAATGTCCTTATTCAACATTCTCATGGTGGCTCTGGAGCTGGAGCAATCTTTCTTGCTGCTTCTCAGACACAACAACATTCCTAATCTTCTTTTTATATTTTGATACAAATTTCACCTAATTTTATTCCTAATCTACTTCTGGGTATTCACAAAAACTATATATATATATATATATACACGAGTATCTATGTATTTGTTTTGTTGTATCAACAGAGAATTGTCATCAAAATTTATGATTCTAGTGAGTTCAAAGCAACTAGAAGTGAAGATTAATGGTAAATAATGAGAAACCATGCATTTGCCGGTTCAGTCCAATCTTTCTGACACTGCCATTGTTATCATTGCATCAAACATACTTACCACCCTGCAAATCGGTATATTACCTCCTGCAGATCTGTTAGAACATTATGATTCTTTTTCAAAAAGAAAATGAAATAAACATGATGAAAGAAAAAACCCATCAAAACTTAAAACTGAAAAGATGGATATTGAAAAGTACTGGATTCAAGTAAAACTAAATTATATGATTTGACTACGCACCCAGTAAAAAGATATTGTAAAGTGACTTTGCGAAAAGCATATATATATATATATATATATATATATATATACATACATATATATATAATTTGAGTCTGTGTTTGCAAGACAAATCCATTATAGAGAAACAGAAAAGCAGTGACAGCACACATGACCAAGACAATATGGAAATATTGGGTAAGATCTGATAAGCTGAAAATGACGAGACTTGAGCTAGCTACTAGCTACTGCAAAAACAAAAAAAAATTAATTAATTAATTAATTTATTAAAATCAATTTACATAATTGTCTTTTTCTTTGTCAACTTCCTGTAAATCCAAGTTCATAAAAATCCAAGAGAGTTTTTATATATGCGAATTTGTATTCTTGCTTAATCTTTTTTTAACTTTTGTGTTTTACCCAAACAGTGTTTTATACATGCAAATCCATTGTACGTATAGTTTTATGAATTTATTTCATTTATTTTTTTTAAAAAAAAAATACCCATTGTATTTCCATCAATTTTATAATAAATAAGATGCAAATTACTCAATTTAATAACCTTCCAATCTTGGTTTGAACTCAAAAGTTTGGAAATTCACATAGATATATTCTCGTATCAACTTTCTCCCGAGTTAAATTAAGACTTTATTTGGTATACGATTCTTTTTTAAATTTATATATACATATACATTTTATTCATGGAAGTATACAAAATTCATAAATTTATGAATAACTAAAAAAATAAAATTTAAAAAAACATAAAAATTAATATTTTATTTTATTTTATTTTACTTTCTCATTATTTCTTCTTTCAGTGTAAAATTTAATTTTATAAAATGTATATAAAAAAAAAGTAAAAAAGTAACTTTTTTTTTTTTTTAATCCTAACAGAGGTGCGCTTGTAATTATTTAAAGCAGGTTTGGTAGTAGTAGGACCCAAGTGTTTTCATTGAACCGTGAGCCAAGCCCACAGTCAGTCGGCCCGAGAGGGAAAAAAAAATAGTGAAGTTTTTGGTCCCCCTAATCAGGCTGCTCCCTCCCACCTTTTTTTAATTACAAAACCATATAATATTAAATTCTTAATAATCACGAATTAAAACTTAAACCTTTAATGTAAATTAGAAAGTAAATAGCTGCTAGATCAAAACCCATTACTTAATCCCCAGTTAATTACTTAATCGCACTTCTTAATTCCAGTATGTTATGGACCACCACTACCCATCTCTGTCCCATTAGTCCTACCTTCTTAGGTCACTTATTCATTGTTCTTTTGGCATGTTATTAGGGCAAAATTCTGCTTAAAACTCCATTTTTAGTGGAGAATTTGTCTTAAGTCTTGAGGGTTTAAGTACCATGCCCTTTTGTATAGAACAATACCCTTAGTTATGGCAACGAGAATATGTAATTATACGATTTGTGATTGGTACTTTTAACGAGAAATAAATTTTTAATTTGATATTTAAAATATTAATTTATAAAATTTTGATTCGTATCGCATAATATTTTAGATTATTATTAATCGTCTCTCTCTATATTGTTATGAAAATTTAAATTTTGTATTAATTATAATTTATTGATAGTGCAGTACTCCAATAAATTTTTAAACGTTTGCTTTGCTTTTTAACCCTTCTAAGGAGCTAAAAGCCAAAAGCTAATCTTGGCTTTTGCCAGCTAGCTTATTAGCAAAATGCTTATTTAGTTACAGCAACTTAGTGAAAATTAGATAAATCCCAACTCAAAAGCCAAATCTAACTTTTTGTTTTTTTTTAATTACAAAACCCACCATTTTCAAAAATAATATAACGACATTTTTACCCTCACAAAAAATATCTTAAAGATACAACGCATGATAATTGACGGATTGCTTCAATGTCGCATAATGCTAGACGAGTACTAAATAATCAATTTATTTAATTTTTCTTAATTTATCAATCGAGTAATTAACAGACAAATAATGATAATTAGCACTTTAAAATAATTTATAAACAATTATTTACTGTTAAATTAATCTCTTAATATGATGTACTTAAGTAGGTAATTAACAAGCTTTTAATTCACTATCGACCATGGAAAATTCAGGTTTTTATTTAACATAATATATATTTTTTAAAAAGTAATATTAAATTTATTAGTAAATAAATATTATTTAATTTTTTCAAAGTGAAACTATAATTTTTTTTTTTTTTGCGAATTCTCGAACTTGAAATAAATGATATGTTGACACATATTAATATTTTAATTATATTAAAATTAATTTCAATATACAAAAAGTTTATTTAAATATGTATTTTAATTAATGAATCAAAAACATGTTTACAGTATTTCACTAAATCAATTATATCCACTAGTGTTTTAAATCTTATTCAATACTATAATTTTTTTAAAATCTATATAATTAAAATAAAAATAAATAGTACTGATGAATTGTAATAAAATATAATTAAATAGTGCAATATAATATAATAATAAAGTTAATGTATTAGTCCCTTAAAAGCAGCTTTAACTTATGGTTAAAAAAAAAAAAAAAACAGCTTTAATTATAGTAAAAAAAAAAAAAAACAGCTGTAACTTATAGTAAAAATAAAAAATAAAAAGCAGCTTTAACTTATAGTAAAAGTTTGTATATACATATATATGTATGTATGTATGTATATGTGAGACTGAAAGAAGAGCGCCCCAATGTAAAGGGGACAAAAGGCAACAGCCCCCGAGAGTATTAGGACATAAAAATAGTAACCGGGGCAACGTGTTTTCTGGGTTGCTAAGAGCTTCGAGCTCAGGGATTTCCTAATCTCCAATGCCCTTTGTTTTTCTTCTTTTAACATTCTTCCCACTTACACACACATATATATATATATATAACAACACTTATATATATATACACATATATGTAACCACCGAATAGTCCGAATCTATCTTCATCAATTCCTCAATCTTTCACTCAACACTCCCGATGAAGACTAATAATGACCCTTAAATTTCATTTTCCCAATTACTTAATTACTTAAAATCTTCTTTTTTTGAACTTAATTAAGTAGTTAATTAATCTTTTTCAGTTACTTTATCTTATACACTTACAAACACCCATTAAAATCTGAACCCTCATCATGATCATAAAATTACCCTCTCGTTTAATTTTTTTCTGACTGTATGTGTGTGTGCGTGTATATATATATATATATATATATATATGTATACACACACATGTCAAGTATTTGTCTATTAATTAAATTTAAGTAAATACCAAATTCCAGATTTACTACGAACTCTGCATGCTCAAATCATTAGCTTTGAATTGAACAACGTCTATACCTATGAACCGGCCAAAACCCAGGCCACAGAGAGCTCGACCAAAAAAATTAATGCAATTTTACCAAAATGACCCTCCCGGCCCACCATCCTCTGAGCTCTCTTCTCCTCTTAGTGGAGGGGTATTTAAGTCATTTTAAGGTGTGAATCTGTCTTTTTCTGGATAAAGAAGGATGTACGTGCATAAGCCATTTTATGTTATAACGGCATCTCTCCCAACATCATCCCGTCGCATTCTTTGGCGTCGAAGGGCTTTTTCGTCATTTTGCCGCATATGGAGTTTCGTGTTTTAGATTACCAATCACGATGAAGGATTATAAAGTAATTATGATCTGATTAATTTCTTTTAATGGGTGATAATTAAATTTAAGAAATTTAATAAAATATAACAGAGAGACCGGAGTTTGTGTGAATTGAAAACACAAATTCTCGAGTCTCTCTCCTTGTCAGTCAACAATAGTTGACCAGCTTTATTTCACCCTACCAGCAAAATTATTACTCTTCAATAATTATAAATCATTTTCTCGGCTCTTTTCTTTTTTTTTTTTTTTTTCATGCTCCTTTTTTTTTCTTTAATAATATTATTTATTGGTATAATTATTATTATTTACAAAATAAAAAATTGTAACAAAAAAAGTCAACAGGATCATTAACGTGCAAAATGTTATTTTAATTATGTACTAATTAATGTGAATCCTATGTGGATAACAATAATTAATTAATTAATTAAAATATTACCTAAAGTAAAATTAAATAACGGAATTATAAGTATGATTATATTTTAATTAAAACTGATAATTAATTATTATGTTCGGATTCCATCAATGCACCTGGAAAAAAGAGAAAATAATTTTTCAAAATGCCCGAAACATGGAGAAATTTTGTTCAATGATTTATTCTCCTCTCATCTTTCTGTCTAAAGCACTAAGCAGCTAAAGAATATATAAGCTCACACCGACTGACCACAACGCTGTGGGGTCCATCAACTGGGACCCACCGTACCACAAATCATCATCCGCTTCTGTAGGCCCCTAATTGTGGATCAGTGGGTCCAAGTTTTTTCGATGAAGAGAATGTGTCACCCACTTGATTAATGATTATGATTAATCAACTTAATTTGAAGACCATCGGATTTTATTCGCTCAGCATTTTCTCAGTGCTTGTACTTGTACCAGATGATTACCTTTTTTACCTGTCTACCAGAGTCCATTTGACCGTGGAATCCAACCCAACAAGCCACAACCACCACCGTATCCGCATTCTTCATTTTTTATTTCTTCTAAAATATATAATTTTGTTATGTGGTACAAAACAATTTTTACATGTGAAAATCAGTAGGCTTCAAAATTACTGTAAAGAGTTTTATTCATAAGAAAATTTAAGTGTCAAATTTTTTTAAAAAAATAATAATTTAAATTTTATTAAAACATGTCTGAATTTTTATTTTTTATTTTTTAAAAAAAAAGTGGTATAAATCATTTAATTTAATTTAATTTCGAATTTTAATGGATGATAATTGGAAAAAGATTTTATAAATCATAATTTGGTTTGTCCTTTTGGGAATCCAACGCCGCTCATGCATTATTCGGAAGGGACCGGCACTTCATTTATTATTTAAATAAATAAAAATAAAAAACAGTAAATGTGTTTTTAAAATATAAATTATTTATTATTTAAATAAAATAAAATAAATATTTTTTGATTTTGAGATGTAAATTTTGCAATTTCACAGGAGCTAATATTCCATTGCACTTCTCTATTTTCAATATTTTTTAATTAAAATTTGTTAAAATTAATTATAAATTATTAAATTATATTAGTATTATAATTATATAAACTTTATTAATTAATTTTTTATATAATCATTTTTATTTTCTTTTTTTTACGATGGTATTATAATTTATATATTGTCTTTAAAAAAAAATACAGGATTTGGTTAGATATTATTCTTAATTTTATACAGTAACATGTGGAGGGAAATAAAATAATAATAATAAAATTTTGACCAAATTGTTGATGTTTGACTTCGAGAGAAATATAGAAAAATGAGATTGAGTCATTAATTGTCTAAGAATTTTAGAATTATATAAAAAAAAAAATCAAATTTTATTATCTACATTTAATATATATCCCTATAAAAATGCCAAATTTTTTTTAAAAAAAAAATACTTATTTTTTTGAATTACCCAATTTTATATATTTCATAATGTTTTCCTATTTTATAAATTTATGAGCTCAGTAAATTTATAAATTGAACCGTAATTAGATAGAATTAAGAAGGGTAAAACTGTAATTTAATATATTTTTTGAAAAAAAATGCTTGTTTAGTTTTATTTTGAAGATCTTTTATTGGGAAAGTTTCTGAATTTTCAAAATTAATATTTTTTTATTATATAAATATAGTCCCTGAAAAGTTATGTATTTTCAAAGAAGGCAAAAGTTTTTAATGAAATTTGACTTGGGGTTGGTGTCTAAAAGATTAAAGTTGGGATATTTTGTATCGGTCTATTTTAAAGAACATTAACTTTTTGGGAATACAATAAAATAGAGTAAAACTTAGGAGTCCAATTTTGAAACTTTTTGCAATTGCGAAGACACCACTTTATTTTTACCAAAATACAAGAGTGACCCCCAAAATATAACACCATCTCTCCTTCATATATATATATATACTCATTACAATATACTTTTACAAAAATATATATATAAACACCACTTATAATTTATAATTATATTAATTAGATATATATCTGAATTAAATTGTAATTTTTTATATAAATGTATATATTAATATTAATAAATACATAAATTTTTTTGATTAATCTCTTTTTTTTTTCACAACTAATTATGACTTGTTGAAATAAATTATTTTCTGATTATGTAAAAAAACAAACTATTAAACATACTTTTCAATTAATATTTAATTATTAATTGATTGACATATTACGACCCGCAATATTTTTAATTGGTCGATTTATACTTTTAATTTGGGAATGCATATGAAAATGATATTTCAATAAATACACGTAAATATACATATATGATGAATATGGAGTTTGAAATTATTAAAAAGTGATTAATTAATACTATAATCTTAAATATTCCATAATTACACACAAAATCTTAATTTATCTATTAAAAAATACAATATCTTTTGTGCCTTTTAATATTACTTTAAATTTTTAAATAAAAAAACTTTAAATTTGAATTTTAGTAGTTTATTATTATTTTTTATAATAAAAAGTATATATATATATATATTTTTTCATTTTATGTTAATTTATTTTTTTTAATTTTTTCATCTCCCTCCATTTCAAAATTTATTATTTTCATTTAAAAAAAAAAAAAAAAAAGTGAAGATAAAAAAGGTCTCGTAATAAAATTACACCATCCTCATCCAATTCTCTCTCTCTCACTCTCTGCCTCTAACCTCTCTGCTCTCTTCTCCGCCTCCTTCCCCTCTTTCTCTGTAAACAAAACACCGAAGAACACAGAAGAAAACTTCAAACAGTGAAAAGTTACAACGAAAACATAGGGGGAAAATGAGACTTTTTCTTCTTCTGCTTCTTCTTCTCCACATTTCGCACTCACTCGCTCGGGCACGCATCATTCCGGAGTACCGGGCACTACTCTCCGTGAAGTCTGCCATCACCGACGATCCCCAGTCGGCGTTGGAGTCATGGAATGTTTCGACCAGTCACTGTACCTGGCCAGGGGTCACTTGCGACCCTCGGCGCCATGTCACGGCGCTGGACCTCTCTGGGCTTAATCTCTCGGGTACTCTTTCACCGGACATAGCACATCTACGCTTCCTTCAGAACTTAACCGTCGCCGTCAACCAGATTTCGGGGCCCATTCCCCCGGAGATCTCGGTTATCTCGGGTCTTCGATTGCTCAACCTCTCTAACAACGTCTTCAATGGCTCTTTCCCTGACGAGCTCTCTAGTCTCGTCCAACTCCGAGTACTCGACCTGTACAACAACAATATGACGGGTGACCTGCCAATATCCGTCACCCGCATGATTCAGCTGCGCCATTTGCATCTAGGCGGAAACTTTTTCGAAGGCCGGATCCCTCTCGAGTACGGCAGTTGGCCGTTTTTAGAGTATTTGGCCGTCTCCGGCAACGAACTCGCCGGAAAAATTCCCGCCGAGATTGGCAATCTAACGAAGTTACAACAGCTGTATATTGGTTATTTTAACACTTTCGACGACGGTTTGCCCCCAGAGATTGGGAATTTGTCGGAACTGGTTCGTTTTGACGCCGCTAGCTGCGGGTTGTCGGGCGAGATACCGGCCGAGATCGGAAGGCTGCAGAAGCTGGACACATTGTTCCTGCAAGTAAATTCTCTTTCGGGGCCGTTGACACCGGAACTGGGGAGCTTGTCGAGCTTGAAATCAATAGATTTGTCGAACAACATGTTCTCTGGTGAGATACCGGAGTCGTTTTCTCAGCTCAAGAACTTGACGCTTTTGAATCTTTTCCGGAACAAGCTTCACGGAGCAATACCGGAGTTCATAGGCGATATGCCGGCGTTGGAGGTATTGCAGCTATGGGAGAACAACTTTACTGGGAACATTCCGCAAGGATTGGGGAAGAATGGGAAGTTGCAGCTCCTGGATCTTTCTTCCAATAAACTCACCGGAACTCTCCCTCCTGATATGTGTAATGGTAACCGGTTGCAAACTCTGATTACCCTGAGTAACTTTTTGCTCGGGCCGATTCCGGAATCGCTCGGCAAATGCCAGTCGCTGAGTCGGATTCGGATGGGTGAGAATTTTCTCAATGGGTCTATTCCTAAAGGCCTTTTCGGGTTGCCAAAGCTCACTCAAGTTGAGCTTCAAGATAACTTGCTCTCTGGGGAGTTTCCAGTGACCGACACAATAGCAGCGAACCTTGGCCAGATTAGTCTATCCAACAATCATCTCTCTGGCTCGTTACCTTCTGCTATCGGCAACTTCTCTGGTATGCAGAAGCTTCTTCTCGACGGGAACAAGTTCTCCGGTCGAATCCCGTCTGAGATTGGGAAACTACAGCAGCTTTCCAAGATGGATTTCAGCCACAACAAGTTTTCAGGCCCAATTACTCCCGAGATTAGCCAATGCAAGCTGCTAACCTTTGTTGATCTCAGTCGAAATGAGCTTTCTGGTGCTATCCCAAATGATGTCGTAAGCATGAGGATCCTGAATTACCTGAATCTTTCAAGAAACCATCTGGTCGGTAGCATTCCTTCATCCATAGCTTCTATGCAGAGCTTAACCTCTGTTGATTTTAGCTACAACAACCTCTCCGGTTTGGTTCCTGGCACTGGTCAGTTTAGTTACTTCAATTACACTTCGTTTCTGGGTAATCCGGAGCTTTGCGGCCCGTACTTGGGACCTTGCAAAGACGGGGTTGGCAATGGAACCCACCAGCCGCACGTTAAAGGGCCACTCTCCGCTTCTCTGAAGCTTTTGCTTGTAATTGGATTGCTCGTCTGCTCGATTGCTTTCGCTATTGCAGCGATAGTCAAGGCAAGGTCATTGAAGAAGGCAAGCGAGTCTCGCGCATGGAAGCTCACTGCCTTCCAGCGTCTGGACTTCACCTGCGATGATGTTTTGGATTGCTTGAAAGAAGACAACATCATTGGAAAAGGCGGTGCTGGAATTGTGTACAAAGGTGTTATGCCCAATGGGGATCAAGTCGCCGTCAAAAGGTTGCCGGCGATGACCCGAGGTTCTTCTCATGACCATGGATTCAATGCTGAGATTCAGACTCTGGGGAGGATTAGGCACAGGCATATTGTTAGGCTTCTGGGCTTTTGTTCAAACCACGAAACCAATCTTTTGGTCTATGAATACATGCCTAATGGAAGCTTGGGTGAGGTTCTTCACGGAAAGAAAGGCGGGCATTTGCACTGGGATACAAGATACAAGATTGCTGTGGAAGCAGCAAAGGGACTCTGCTACCTCCACCACGATTGCTCACCCTTGATTGTTCATAGGGACGTGAAATCCAACAACATCCTTCTCGATTCCAACTATGAGGCTCATGTTGCTGATTTTGGCCTTGCCAAATTCCTCCAAGATTCAGGAACATCCGAGTGCATGTCTGCAATTGCTGGTTCTTATGGATATATTGCTCCTGGTATGATCCTATCTTTCAATCCTTAAGAATATGTCAACGTACTTAAATTTCTCTGTGAATTATCCTTACCAGTCCATATTATGCCAAACAACTTGTTACTTGGTTGAATTGTTTACCCTAATGATGTTTTTTTGTTGAGGTCTTGTTATCGATGGACACCCAAAATGTCCTCTCTGCTTATGTCGGTTTTCTTGCTGGTATGAAGACCATGTGTTCAGTGGAAGAAGCTGTTGAGCCTTTAATTTCAATCAGCATCTAAAGTTTTTTGGCTCTGAGAGTAAAAGTTGGAAGGCAGCTTTGGAAGTACATTTACTCTAATGATGCTTTTGACTTAACCCACTTTCAAATTTTTGTCCAATCTGGCAATCCATAAATACAGCCTCATCCACGACTATGGAAGATTAACCTAAGATTCAAAATTTGATGATGCAATTGTCTTGTTCAAGACAAGTTCTTTTGCTTGTTTTTTACCTAATTTTTATCTAACACAACTTAGGGCGGCCTAATTTGAACTCCATATTTCCCACTTTCTGGTTGTTGACAATAAGAACATAATTTGTTGCAGAGTATGCCTACACTCTGAAGGTTGACGAGAAGAGCGATGTGTATAGCTTCGGTGTAGTCCTGTTAGAGCTCATCACTGGGCGAAAACCAGTGGGAGAATTCGGTGATGGCGTAGATATTGTTCAATGGGTACGCAAAATGACAGATTCCAACAAGGAAGGAGTCCTCAAAGTGCTCGATCCAAGACTCCCCACAGTTCCACTCCATGAAGTAATGCATGTATTCTACGTAGCAATGCTCTGCGTTGAAGAACAGGCTGTCGAGCGCCCAACAATGCGAGAAGTAGTTCAAATCTTGACAGAGCTTCCCAAATCACCCGGCTCAAAGCAAGGAGACCCAACAGTCGTAGACTCATCCCTGCCACTACCGCTGCCGTCACTGACCAACGCAATCTCTGAGTCGCCAAATGCAAAAGCAAAAGACCCGAAAGACCATCAGCACCCACCACCACCGCAGTCACCCCCGCCTGATCTCCTCAGCATCTGAACCTTTTTTGTTGGGGAATCACCCGGTGCCTCTAAATTCCATAAATTGTGCTAGTTTCTTTCTACTTGGGTGTTTTTCTTTTTCTTTTTCTTTTTCTGAAGGGGGAAGACGTATTGGGATTTGCTCTAACTTTAAGATGTTAAAATCAAATGCTTATCAAGGCAATTTCTGTACAGTAGGATTGGTGGTAAGGGGAAAGTGGAAACTGGGTGTTTTTATTTTATTTTTTTCTCACTAAAAACTTTGTCTTCATCATACGTTTTTAAGTAGTGTACTGCTGGCTGCTTCTGCTTCACGCTTCTGCTATTTGTTTTTTATATAGCGCACAGTTTTTATAACAGTAGTACTGGCTATAAGCATCTGCTCTGCAACTGCAAAACACAAGCTCTGAGTCCATGGCATCAAAAATGGCAGAGGAAGAGTCAGTGTGTTTTTAATGAGAGTGTTTATGGGTGGGAAGGACAGTTTGAAAGAGACACCCAACTGGATTTTACACATAAGCATGGAAACATGTGTGTGTGTGTGTGTGTGGTGTAAAACAGTGCCATAGCTATAGCCTAGGGCACAGAGACTTAGACAAGTGCTTTTCAATTACCGAGACTCTGTGGGGTTAGTTTCATTTTTGTTGTTTTTACCAGTAGGAAAAAGATTGAAAATGGGAAACGTCCTACTTGGTTTGCCTTCTGGGTTTTCACCATTTTAGGGTTTCCGCCATTTTATTTCTTTCCGTTCTTGTTAATTAAATGGCAGCTCCTGGCTTACCCCCTGGTCTTCTCAGAAAAGCCTTTGTTATTTATTAAAAAAAAAAAATGTATTATTATTAACGTGTATATATCACTTAATGTATGAAATATATATATATATATTTCGCATTCTTTTAACTTTATAATAACATATAATAACCATGATATCTACGGTCTAGCTGCCATAGCTGAAGTTCATGATGACATGACAAATATCTATAATTAGCAATATGTGCGAGCTGGTTTCTGAAATGGGGAGCAAAAAACAAACACGATGCTTTTAGTGTTAATTTCAATTTCTAATTTTTCTGGACGGACCCCATGCATCGATACACATGACATGGGGTATTCATAGTATGGTATGGTATGGTATGGTATGATTCACATGCAGGGTGATACGACTATAGAGATGCGTTGTCAAAAGAGCGAGTGAGTGTGAGATTGTCCTATTGTTTGTTGGAGCTCGAATCATCAAAAGATAAGATTCTGTAAACGGTCCGCGAAATGACAAAGCTACCCTTGCAATATACATAAAATAGTACGCGCTGCAAGGGTATTATGGGAATTTGACGGGAACACTTTATAGGGTTGGCATGAAGATTATTTACTTGTCAAGAGAAGAACGTACCCGATATATATACACACACACACACACACACGTGTATATATATATATTTGATTTTTCTAGTGCAAGTTGGGGTACCTCCAAGAAATGGTTTCTTCTTCTTGGAGGGTAATTGTGATCTGAAATGAAAAGGCCTCGTCCCTGTTTGGTAGTGCTTAGTTGTTTATATCATTTTCTAGGAATTATAACATATAAATATATTGTACGTAATGAAAATATAATAAATTTATAGTACAAATAATTACCAATGTAGTTGAAATTTCAAAATTATAATAGCATCCCTTTTCTCTATCTTAATATATTTTATATATATATGTTCATTTTATTTTCAAGTAAGAACCGATATTAGTATTCCTTTTTTAAATTATTATTCGAGCAACTGAGGATTAACGTATAATAATATAATAATTAATGTATTTTTATAAATTAATTTTAAACCAAATGGCGTGTCCCATCTACCCCTCAACTGCTCGGTACGACGTAGCTTCACAGCCTAAACCCATCCTGTCAAGTTTTAATTTTTAATTTAATTTTCTTATAGAATAATTTAGCATGCAAAAATTAATAAAAACAATAAATAAATATAACATCTCTATTTTACCAATTTTTTTTTTCTTCATAATTTACACGAATAAGAATAAATAAAATTCCGCGATTCACGCAAATTTTTATTTTTAATTTAATTTTGAAAATTTTAAATCACGTCAAAAAAAATAAATAAAAAATTGAAGTACTATTAACCTAATATTCTTCCAGTCTGTTTTTACTGTGTCCACGAGCCTGACTGGAATTTGGTTTCTTTGCTGGGAATCCACGTAAACAATTTTTTTTACTGTTTTTTTTAACTCATCCTATAAATATTTCACCTTTTTTTTTTAATAATTTACGATAATAAATTCATTAATAAATTAATTCATACTAACTTTAGTACATAAATAAAATAATAAATTTTTAATTTTTAATAATATTTAAATAAAATGTAAAAACATTAATTAATGGAGTACGAATTATTTCATGCACTATTTATTTTTTATTATTTTTACCCACTTACCCATTTGATAAATTATATTTTGGAGTATGATAATTTTATTTTGCTAAAATTAAAAAATAGTAGTCAAGATATTGAAGACACGAGCTAACTTTAAATTGTTATAATATATGGTGTAATAAAATATACGTAATTTCATATTGTTATAATATATTCAAAACTTGTCGGTTTATATATACGAGTGTATGTTTTGATCATATATAGCATTAAAAAATGATTTTATTTGGAATATTGTTTAGTGTGTGTGTGTGTGTGTGTGTGTATGTATTGGTATATGTGTGTGTGTGTGTGTGTATATATTGGTATAAGTTGGGAAGGAGTTGAATTGAATGAGAGCAATAACCCCACCCACCCTCAACCTTACCATAAATTTGGGAAAACAATGCTTCATAAAAATGTATCCATCAAGGTGACAATATTAATCATTTCGATATTTATAGTTCTTCATTTTTTCATTTATGGCACATGTCTTGCTACTAATATATTTTCAAACGCCATTATATTTACTACCATATATAATTTGTCTACACCCATAAATTTGCACCAATAGATGCTTAATTTTTACTCTAAAAGATGTTTTTTAGAAATGGGTATTTAGATTTTAAAATGTAGAATATGGGGGCAGGTTATATGTATGTGTGTGTGTATATATATATGTATATATTAGAAAAGTCCAAATAGGCCCTAAATGACAAACAACTTTACAAAGAAAATGCACCTAACATTTTGACACTAGAAAAAGATTACTACTGTTTTTGTCCTAGTAAAACAGGCTCTCTTTTTTTGCCATATAAAAAACACATATAATTAATATACCAAACATATTTATTAGCAACTTCTTAATTATTTTTTCTCATGTTAGATGTGTATATACATCACTTTCATTATATACATATGTACATATGACCATAAATCCATGCCACACTAGAAAAAGAAGGGTTATAATTATATGTGTCCATGGCTGGCTATATAATGGATGTCCCAATTTGCCATCCATAATAATTAATTAAATCATATACTATTATGCCATCGTATAATTATTAATGCTTTACCAAAGAATGTTACATCCCATTTTCCACATGAACTAAAACTTCTCGTGCCCTTTTTAAAAGTTAAAAATCTATTATATCATTCTCTTGGTAGCACATTGATTAATTGTCTATCATAATTAAGTAAAAGATTATATTAATTTCATTTTTTTTTCCTGAAATATTATGCATATATATATATATATATATGTATATCCTATCATTAAAAAATTATCAGAAAAAAACAAAGGTCAATAGGACAAAGAGAAAAATGTGTATGTCACATGTTTCAAATGTATTTATATGAATTAATGAAGAAGAAATAAATACAATAAGTTTGACTGCAGAAGGGAATTTGGTATGTACAATAAAAGCTACAAAAATAAATGTGAGGAAAGAAGCCGTGTCCAAAATTGTAGGTAACCTTAATTAATTATTTTTATATTTTATATTTTTTGCCATCCACATGATATAAATATATATATAGTTTTTTTTTGTAATTTATTATTATTTTCCAATATTATTTAATTCATTTTTCTCTTGACTTTATTTCAAATATTTTGATAATAAGTAGAGCTTCATTTATAGATTCCAAAACCAACATTTATGACACTACCATCGCATGTTCATCAATTAAAACTATATATATACATATATATATATATATACACATATGTATGTATACACCGAATTCAATTTCCATGGGCTTGAATTATTGATCTCGTTCCAGAGGAAGCAATGAATGTGCATGCATGGAGTACGGATACGTAGTGCTGCACTGACAATACATATATATATATATATATATACAGACACACACACACACACAAGAACTGAGCTGTATATAAAACGACACCGTGAGTGGAGTTGGAATTCAACAGTGTCTTTTCATGTGAATTGTGTAATTTATAATATAGTAAAATAAAATAAAATATTCTCTATTATTAGTAAAAGGATAAATGTAAGAGACAATATAGTCCAAAATTTACTACCGGCGAGCGGTACAACCTACCTGATTCTTTTTTAACATACATACATATATATATATATAAATATAAATATAAATATATGTATATATATTATGTATATTGTTGAATCAATAATTTGCTAGGTTGGAATACTTACTTGCCATGAAGGAGTAGGTTTGGTAAATATTTTGCCAAATAATTCCCCACCGACCCACAAAAAGTATATATATATATATATATATATATGAAGTTAACATATTCTGTAAATTAACAATTAAAATTGTTATTTTAATCTATAAATAATTAAAAGTACATAATAATTTTAATTACAATAATAATATTTAGAAAAGTAGAAGTAAGGGTAAAAAAAGTTTATTGTATTGTTTTCTCTTTTAATTATTATAATAATCACATAGTACGATATATATGAAAATATGTATTAGAGTTTTTCTAAATTACAACTATCGATAGTACAATTTATACGTATGTGTGTATATATATATATATAGATGAGAGAAAGGGAAGAGTTAACACTAAATTATTTCTCATATAGGGTTCTTCAATTACAACTTTTCTAATGAATTTGCACTAAATCTGTCTGGGTGATTGAAAAACAGTGTTTCAATGCAAATAATTTGTGGAAAAATGGAGAGAGACATTTGAGGTGACATTGGAAAAAGCAAAAGCAGAGATAGACATGCATGAGTAGGGTTTTCATTTCAATTTCACA